AAATATACTTATACTAAAGCCATAAGCGCAACCCCCAAACAGATGGACGTTTAAATTCGAGTGCCTCGGAACGATCCAAATTGCCAGACCCCGGATTCCTGCTATCATCCGCAGACGAAGAAGAATCTATTGCCCGAGTTATTGATGTGGAACACTCGCGTCGCCTACCCGGCATGATGATTGGCAGTGTGTTCTTGGCCAAACCAAATAACGTGGTACGCCATGGATATCTCTCTAAGCTCGGTATACAGGTATACAAGTGTGTAAATGTGTATGTGTGTAAGCGTTTATGTGTGTATGTGTGTATGTGTGTCAGTGTGTATCTGTGTAAGTGTGTATGACTATTATAAGTGTGTATGTCTGTAAGTGTGTATGTTTGTGAGAGTGTAAGTGTGTATCTGTGTAAGTTTGTATGCGTGTAAGGGTGCTGTTGGTTAATTCGGCAGTTTTGTATTGCGTCATGTCGGGATAATAAGTGCACGTGCTAATTTATATGATGTCGTTGGCAATAGTTGACCCTTTACAGTTCCCAACAATCGTACATATTCTCCACTGCCCTTTATATTGCATATTTCATGAGGTAGTTCTGATTTACTTAAAGCACATATTCTTTCCCATTTTTTGCAACAGCATTCTGATATAGATAGTATATACTCCGCCGGCGAATATAGTGAGAACACGAGTATATGCAGTCCCAGCCCCAGCCAGCCGCGGTCACCGTACATTTACGGCAGTGTTTCGGGTAGTTGAAGAGCCCAGTAGTGTTAAGGTATTATATTCTTACACAAAGCGTCGGTTAGTTATATCAACAATAAAATTAGTCTCAATAATTACCGCAATCGTTTGGAGAGTTTCGCACGGTCGGTATGAAAAGCACGGTATGTACTGATAATGACGTATTCAAGGAAAGCAGAACTCGGCTCTGGCACTCCTGAGAGTCAATGTCAGTCACGTTACATAGTGTACACTGTCTTGTTATCACAAGAATATTAAGCTCTATATCACATTGATATAATTCAGTACCATGCACTAGCACTATGGCCTTGGTAGGCAGACACTGTTCGGACTACAATCTGCTAGTATTGAGTCCTTGTTGCAGAAACGTACTTTTCTGCACGATAGGAACATCATCGTCGAATATGCCGCACTAAGTTTTTTGAACTTGACAAAACAAACTCATTTTATAATACTTTATCACCCTAGTACACACCTGGCACATACTCAGTACTAAATATACCGACCAGACAACCGTAAAAGCAGAGACAAACTGACGAGTTCTCGCTATACATACATACAGATATATACAATATTCACTCCACTGTACCCCAAAGGCTCCGTACTATAGTCATTTGATTGCTTCTCACGAGTATCAACAAGTTGCTTCTCATCAACAACATAGCCTACATTTTAGGAGGCTATGTCGGCAAATGAAGTGCTAAATAAACCCTAAAACCAAGAGACCTAAGACTCAAAGACAGACATACTTTCTTTTCGCGGTCTTTTTGAAGAGCATTGAAATATTTTTTGAAAAAATGTCTACTTTGCCCTGAAGCCTGGGCCCTGGGGGCTGGGGCGCAGCCGTCCACGACTCCACAGTCCACGGTAGAGTCCAAGACTCGAGTCTCGAGACTCGAGGCCAGGTCACTCTCTATAGAGAGTGAATGGCGAGTCCATACATACTCTTATCAGGCTGCACATGTCGAATAAAAGTATTTAGAAGTTTTAATATTCGATTGTATAAAACGCACCCCAATATCACACTCCTTACCTATATAACAGTGATATATGCATACATATACAACCCGGTAGCAACCACTTATAAAATATACTGTATACATTAGATATGGACGGCGGAGCACAGAGAAAAGTTATGGTCTATGCCTGCGGAGGTATGCTCCTTTTATAAAGCTTTGTTATACGTCGCCTAGAGAAGGTCCAATTTAGTTTTAGGTTCACACGTTGACTAATCAGATTCAAATATGCTATACTAACACTTAATTGTTAATTGGCATGTGTGTTTGTGTTTGTTTGTGTGTGTGTGTGTGTGTGTGTATGTATATGTGTATGTATGTGTGTGTGTGTTTTGTTTGTGTGTGTGTGTGTGTGTGTGTGTGTGTGTGTGTGGGTGTGTGTGTAACATGGCGATAGACCACAGATGAAAGACATGGTGTATGCATATGGAATTTTGCTACCTGTTGGAAGACATTCCAACGTTATGTGGGGCGGCTCCTGTGCTTTTGGCTGACAATTAATATATGTATATATATATATATATATTTACATACATACATACATACATATATTTTATGTATATGTATATATATAATGTGTGTGTGTGTGCGGTGGGGGGGGGATAATGTGCTGG